ACTTATTTATTACATTCACATGCTTGTGTCAGGTAAGGTATATTTCTCAGTAAAAATTGGCAAGCTGGAAGCTACATTCAGATCAAAATTCACTTGCATCCTGCCAACCTTGGAAAATGAAATAGAAAAGAAATGAGAGGGAAAAATGTCAAAGCATTTTCCACTGTTAGAGATGTTATGCGCTAACAAGGAAACTATTCAATTATGAATACATCAGTGGCCAATATTGATTCTTTTTCTTAAAAACATCCTCACTTCCATTTGCTGCTTTGTCCTAAAGATCATTTGTCTGGGCAACATTATTTAACTAACACTTGCTAAAAAATACAAGTGGTCAGAGATGAAGCAAATATTTGTTTTCCCTTCAAGATTCTCACTGTGCATTTCCTTTGTTCTCTTGAATCCCCCAGCCTACCAAGGGAAGACATCTATCAGTACCGTGGGCACCTCCACTTCTGCTTATCGCCTGAGCCTGGCCACCATGTCTCGCTCCAACACAGGCACGGGTACTGTCTGGGAGCAGGACAGCGAGCCATCCCAGCAGGCTTCGCAGGACACGCTGAGTCGGACTGATGAGGAGGATGAGGAAAGTAGGTCACCCCGAAGAATCTGGGCAGGAGACACAGAATATAAATTGACCGTACTAGTGGGGGCTTGGCAAGGATTTCTGCCTTTCTGATCTTTTCCAGTTCTGATGCCCTAGTCATTTTTACAGAGGGATTCAAGGTGAAAATGTGACTGATTCCCTGATTCCTAATGCCTTCTATAAATTCCTTGATAGCCTTGGTCATTTGGAAAGAATTCAGGCAAAAAGTAAATCTTTAGTGACCCCTAATTTTTCTTTGAGCTTATGTATTTCCACTAACTCTCATTTAAACTGTGGCTAAGTAACTAGGGGAAGCACTTACATGACCCCATTGGGCAAGGAAAAGTAGACAGTGGATATGCTCAGGACTCAGAAAAGGCTAGCTGGCTATACCATCCAGTGTGTAAACCAGCAGGCTGTCTTAAGGGGATACACTCCCAATTTGGGTTAAGAGACTGCCCAGTGACTAGGTCAGCCCAGGAACTTCTAATGCATGTGCTACAGATTTGGTATTAAGATACGAGGGGAAATCTGTTCAAGAAATATTTCATATGTATGCTTAATAGGAGGTTTTAAAAAGCAAAAATAGGTGAAAGGTTCCATTAAATGTTACTATCATTTAAAAGGTTTTAAAATTGCATCAATTATTTTCTACTGTGTTTAAGACACTCTAATATAACATTTATAGCAAAGTTGTGCTGTCAATGCCTTAAGTATGAGAACAAAATCTAGATCTCCATTCAGAGCCTTTCCATACCAAACAATAACAAAAAGCCCCACTCTGAACTAAATTAAATAGAGGAAATGGGAGTTGAGATTAGAATTTTAATTAACTAAGATGAATGAAAGTATTTTAATGTCCCACCACAGTTGAGTGTGTAAGAGAGGAAAAGAAATAAATGCTTTGTCAAAACACTTACCAGTAATATTTCCAGGTTTAGTTTCAGGATCAGATAAAGTGATAATCATATTGCCCTGCACCTGGCCTATAGATATACTTGTCTCTAAATTGCCCTGGTGACCGCTCATGAAAATACACCTGAAGTTGTAATTAGGGAAATTGTGAAAAATCTTAACCAAGAAAACACAATGATAGAAAAAAAGATCAGCAGTTTAAATATCCATTAAGTCCTGGTAACCGTTCAGAACTTAAAGTAAAATCCAGTTTTCTTTAATGCTTAAAGTAGTCTCTCCCAGCAATTTTTTTTAATGATGGAAAATGATGCTACCTATCTTTTTTAGAGCTAAATATATTTTTCAGGTAACCTTATGAATAAGTAGATGAGCTAACCAGTAGGAAGGGAAGAAAAGTGGAGGAAACAGGGAAATCACTGGCCAAGAGCCAACACTCATGTACTGATGAGGCAGGGGTGGGGGGATTGGGAAGTCTGCAATTTTTGCTAATATCTCTGTTCTCAGACATCACAACCATCCCAATGAAAGCAGGTTTGTTAATAAATGATGTAGTGTAGTTGTCGTGTGGGTATATATTAATTTATAAACAGATATAAAAGCCAGTTTATTGACTGCCTTGAATTAAGCTATTTTCCCATTCAATCATGAAACCTATATTCAGATCTATTGGGTATAAGACAAGGAAGAGGGAAATATGAGAAAGATATGTTCTCTGCCCTCTAAGATCACAGATACAATCTTGCAGAGGAGGTGATAGACATTTGCAATAAAGAACACTTAACAAATGAGTTAATGGAAGACAGCGCATGATTCATCACCAAACAAATATTGGGGGAGTGTTAGGTGATGTAGGAGTACAAATAAGGGTGGAAAATCAATGGGATCTGGGAAAGGCCTTTGTAGAAATAGCTCAATCTATCCTGTCATGTTTTTCATTATTTTAAGGCAAATTTGCTTATTCTCCTCTCTGTGAACACAATTAAAAAGGAAATAATACCATTCTATAATAAGAATCGATTTCAAGTCAGTCATTATACGGAAAATTAAAATTTCTAGCATTTTTCATAGTTTTTCAAATATTTTTCCTAAAAATATCTGAGAGCCGGGCATGGTGACTCACGCCTTTAATTCCAGCTACTCAGGAGGCTGAGGCCAAAGGATGGCTTAAGGCTAAGAGTTGGAGACCAATGTCTCTAAGAAAAAAAAAAAAAATACCGGAAATAGTCTTTTCCTCACCAAAGACTAGAACTCATTAAATGTACTTGAATTCAGCTTTTGAATGTCAAGGAAATGTACTTGACCCATTCAATAATAAAGTCCTTTATTGAACTATTCCTGCAAAGTTTTAAAAATTTATATTCAAGCTTTTCTGAAATCTTAAATTTTCAGATGCCTATTGACTTTCAGAAATAATCTACTTGTAAAAATGGACAAGAAGTTTACATTTATTTTAAGAAGGCTGTTCTAGTGTGGAAGGGTGGGGGATGTATGGACATGACAAATTATCATTACCCCAAAGGTCTTAGTTTTTGGTCCTCCCTTTAGAGATCATTTTAAGGTTGTACTGAAGTCAAGGATAGAACCCAGGAACAACCTTGGCTGGGTTTCTGGTCAGTGTCATCGTTTTTATAACACTCTATTCCTTTGACTCTTTCAGATGACTCTATAAGCATGCCCAGTGTGGTAAGTGAACAAGAAGCTTACCTCCTGAGTGCCATTGGAAGGAGGCGGTTCTCCAGCCATGTCTCCAGCATGTCTGCACCTCAGGCTGAGGTGGGCATGTTACCCAGCCAGAGGTAAAGAGCCATGGCTATATTATACTCTGAATTTTGGGGCAAAGATGGAAATTCTGAGAATACACTCTGTTATTCTACAAAGGCTGAAAGCAGTGGTAATGTTTTTAGAGAGATCATACAACAAAGGACTTTTCAACTAGGTTCCTACACACAACAATCTGCAGTTTTCTAAGCCAGTAGAAGGGATCCCAATTTCTAATCCAAGAATTGTCTCTCCATAAAAATTTTCCATAAATTCCATGGTCTTCTTTCTGGTTGTCAAATGACATTCTTGTATTTCAGATTTATCATTAGCTAAGCTAATAATGAGTACCCAGCAAGAATATAGGACTTGCTTGATACATTTGGTAAAGTTTAGGCTTCTGATATGTTATCAGTATTTAGTCGAAGACAGTGATGCTTCACCAAGCAGAAAAGGATCTATGCCACTATGTGTGACCTTGGGCAGGTCATTTAACAATAGCCCATAGTTTTCCCTTCTGTGAAATAAGGAGGTTGGCTAAAATTATCTTTTAATGTAACCTCTCTATCAATAGTTCTATGTTATTTTCACTTCAGGAATTGAATTATTTCAAAGTACTGGCTTTATGTGGTTTTAGATATTAATAGTTTGTTGCTTATTTTTTAACACCTATAGAGTCATTGTGGTATGATTCACACAAGGAAAATAATAAAGGTGAGGGCACATTGTAATGTTTAGATAAAATCATTTTATATGCAGGAATAATTATCTGTACCCAAAGCCTTTAGCAAATGGTTCATGAACTACAAAGATGAAATAAAATTTGTGAAATAAAGCCCAAGTTTGGAGAATATCGAATAATAGAGGAAAATGATAAAAGATGATTAACAAGTAAATTGCATACTTTTTAAAAAGGCAATATTTTATGTAAGTGCCATTTAACTGTTACAAAGGTTAATACTACATAAAGCTTCCTATCATTGTAAGAGATTGTTTCACCTACTATCTGTAATTTTCCTTTGAAAAGAAATTCATAAACAAAATGTGTGAACAAAATCAGAGCCAAACAATAACTTGTGCAAAAAAGGATGGAAAGTAATATAAACAGTTAATATTGGTAGCTATCAATTTATTTTTAATTGCTAGCAATGTACAAGATTCTATAAAGAATAAAAGAAAATAGCAATTTATTTAAAAGTTTTATTCAAGTTATAGAATTGTAGGAATTTTAAACAGAGTTTTCTTGTTTTTGTTGCTGTTGTTGTCACTTACCTAAAATAACCAGGCCATCAATTCTTTTTCTATATATCCATTAAGGGGTTAACTTGTTTCCAGGGGCAAAATCTGTCCTATTATGGACATACTAGAAATCCAGAAAAAATAATATAATTAAACTCTTTGAGCTTGAGTCATATTTTAGAAGACTAGTTAAGGTAATTCTGCCTTTGTACACTAGGGAAAGTGAGCCTCTTCCGGGGAACAGAGGTTATTTTTACAGTGTACAATTAGGTAAACCTCAATTCTTCGGGAGCAGGCACGCCACTTTTCTAAATGGTCTAATTCCATCCAATTTAACAAGTATTTATCGAGTGCCTCATGGGTGCTTAGCTCAATGCTAGGCACTGAAGAAAAGACAGAAAAAGTATGACAGTTTCTGTTCACAGATCTCAGTTCAGCCACATACAAATAAATCGATAAACTATTTAATTATTCTCTCACCAACCTGACAGGTTTCTTCTTTTGGCATTTACAATTTAGTCACTAGAGGATGGAGAGTAAGGAGGTAAATGAGAGTTCCATGTGAATTTTCCAAGATATCTTCCTTCCGTTTGTTTACTTGCATTTTCATTGCAAAATTAGCAGGGGAAGTCGGGTTCTTTTCTTTGCTTTTCTTAATGGCATCAGTTCCAAGAGCTTGGTTGTGGCAGTTCATGGTAAGTGGTTTCTGTGTGATAATGTCAGAATGCACAAGAAAGAAGCAGGGTCCTGGCTAACGACCATATACATAAGACAGGTTAAAAATAATAACCGCCTAGCCAATGGTTACCAAAGGGAAGGATAGTTTCATCTTCTCCAGATTCATTCTGCAATGCGTTTCAGAGCTCACAGGTCCATTTGGAGCTCATTTTAACTCTTCACCAATAAATAGATCACTCCTCTGAGAGCTGTATCCATTCAAAGTCCTTCCTCCCCCATTGCCTTGAGTCCTATGTCTTGACAAACCCAGCACAAGGTGAAATGGTTGACTGTCTCCTTTCCTTCCTTGTTCTGTTAAATCTATTTATTTTTGGTTCTTGGAAGCAGAAAATCGCATGCTTTTTTTTCTTTTTTTTTCATTTTCTTTCCCTAAATGCTTCATCTCCCTACCCCTCCTGCAGTGAACCTAATGTCCTCGATGACTCCCAGGGCCTGGCCGCTGAGGGCAGCCTCTCTAGGTACAGTGTCAATGCTACCTGTCTATTGGTGTCTGTGCTGGGAAACTAGCTGTTCCCTGTCTCCTCTGTCTCTCTGTCTTCTCTGTCTCTTCTCGCCCCGTCTTGATATCTATTTCCATTTCTTGCCCTTTGTTGTTCATGAACATACGAGCCTGGAAGTCAAAGGTGTAGCAAACCCTCCTTCATTTTCAGCTACAGAGCACAATCACGAATGGCTTTAAAAGCTTACTAAAAACAAACAAAGAAGCAAACAAATTGTAGAATTTTCTATGGGGCTTGAATCCTATGGGTATCTAAAAAGTTTGATATGTCAAACGTTAAATTTATCCCATCTAATCATTCCCTCCCACGGTGATATTCATTAAGAATTGTTTTTCAGGGGTTCTTTAATACAACTCCTCATCATCAGGAAGCCCCTTACTAAATCAAGACAGGTCTTTTAGCTAATACCATTGGTGGTAAGAAAACAATGATGCTATAAGAAGAATAGTAATGTTGATACAATTTATATACTGTACTTCCTTCTTTTTGATGCATGCTATTTGGCAGGCTCTTACAGTAGCTTGTTCAAGCAACACTTATATAAAGAATGTCTGTTCTAGCACCAAGGTGACTCCCAAACTTGCCATGAAATATCAAACACAAACATTTCTTGGTAAGTAAGAGAAGTTGTATGATGCAAATGAAATAATGTCTTGCCTAATAGTTTAAAACTTCAGAAAAGGGGACTGCACCTTTAACACTCAGATAAACCACGTCAAACATTCCTAATCTTGTGCTGTTGATTCACACCTCTCAACTAATCCTCATTAGGGGTAAGGCTTCTTGTTCATCCTTAGAGTGTCTTTGTTCCATCTCAAGAGAAAACATTCCTTTTCGGGTCTGCATTATATAGTGAGTACAATATACCTGTGTTTATTGCTTTATCACAAAGATGAGGAAATGTTGAGAGGCTGTTCCTGTGAAAAGTTGTCTTTTCTTTTCTTTGCATCTTGTTCAGATTTCACATTTTCTTTTGCAATTGAAAATGGGAAATATAGTCCATCATTGAGTGCATCTTTTTTTTAAATTTATTTACCAGACCCATAATTCATGACATTCGTGTTTGCGAGCCCTCGCCTCGACAGATCAGTCTCTTATTGGTGGTAAATGTGGAAAGTGCTGCGGAGTGCAAACAGTTCCATTAGCAGGAGCTTTGGGGGCAAGGAGGAAGTTCAGAAACAAACGATCCGCAAAAGGGCTTCCCTTATTGCCCACAGTGTTTGAAGAGATGTGAACCAAGTCTAGCAGGGTGATCATTGCTTTCAAAGAATGCATTTATTTAATGCTTAAAATTACATAAGGGATAGGGGAACCTTTATTTAATGCTTAAAATTACATAAGGGATAGGAGAACCTTGATTAGAAGATAATTTCAGTGACCTACTGAGTATAAAGGATTAAATCCGACTTCCATTTAGCTGGCTTTGTGCTGGGGCTTTTCTAATTAGGCCAAATACTACTCTTGATGCGTAAGTACTAGTTCAGGGGTGGTGAGAAGAGGAGGGAGTTTGAGTTTAATTTTATGAACTCGCCAAAGGATTTGGCCCTCTCTGGCAAGCTCAGGGTTCAGATGACTGATTTATGGTTATCTAAACCAGTCTACCCTGGTTCCAATATCAATGGGAATAAACTCAAAGCTTTTGCTAGGTGAGACCAGTTCAGAGGCAAAGGTATAGATTTTGTCTACAACTGAATTAGTCATTCATGTCAGTACTTTGATGACTGTCTTAGATCAACTGTTGTTGGTCTGTTGTTCCTCTAACTGTTCTGTTTTAGTTCCGGGTTTCAGACACCCAGACTCAGTTGTGATCACTAAGAAATGGAAAGATGAGGCATTCATTTTGGATTCTGAAATAATTATGTTAACGCAGAGGCATCCCACCATCCACCTTTGCCATATCCTGCAAATCGTATCTCTCGAACTCCATCATGTCACCGAGTTCTCTTTGGAGGAGAGGAACTTTTGCCATTTATTTACTAGGAAGTGGGTTTAAAAAATAGGATATATGCTTTTTATATTTGGTTTCCAGATTTTTTTATTTTTGGCATGAGATTTCTTTATGCTGCAGACTCTTAAAATCCTAAAGCAGTAAGGCATTAACCAGGTAAATTACATTTAGCACACACTTCAACTCTTGGGACCTAAAACACACCCAAAGTAGTTCTAAGAAAAATCTGGCCCCAAAGCTTAGAGAATATCAGGAAGCATGCCTAAGGGGAAATAATAAATCCTGCTTCTCTCATCACCAACCCATAACATTTTGCTAAACTTTCATGAGAATTTGCTTTTGAAAAAAAACATTTGTTTTAGACAAAAAGGGCAAGTTGGACTAAGTGGGCTAAATGAGGAAGAGACCAAAATAACCTCATGAATAGGTAGAAACCAATAAAATTTTGTACACCTATTGAAAATTACTTCAAGTATTTCTTTTCTTTTTTTTTCAACTTACTACTTCTTTCAGGATACTTCTAAGATTTTTTAAAAACTGGGCTAACTGGTTCCTTTTAAAGATTCTTCCCAAGAAATAGCCTGTTAGAAACACTGTGCTCTTGAGAAATACTGAAATAATGTTCCATGGGAGAATTCTCTAGAGAGTGTTGCTCTTACAAGTATAAAAACTCATTATAGATGTTTCTTCCCTGTCCCTGACCCCAAATATAGACATACTATGGAAATATTTTCTCTCTAGAAGAATAGAGACATAACAGAAGTTACTCAAGCACTGAAGACCAGATGTTTATACCAGACAATTAGATTTTAGTTAGACATGTTAAACATTTTGAAAGGCAGGAATTGCCAGTCAACTCTAATTTTAAAAAAAGAGATTGTAATGCTATTTGATTGTATAAGGGTAATTTTAAATCACAGTGAAAAATAAGAATGTTTGAATAAGACTATATAGTCTAAGTAAGATGAAATAAAATAGCTTATTTAGTGGAACCCATCATATGATCATCCACATTTTTCAAGTATAAAAATTTGGCAAGTACTTTCAAAGTACAAAGAAAAAAATTAAAACAACCTTTTTGTGTAGCTGAGAGTTAATGGCTAAGGAAATGTGCATTGTGATACACAGATATGTACTTTGCCATTGCTAATTCAGTTCTCACAGGATAGCTAAGACTTAGATTGTTCTATTATTCCCCCTTTTCAATCTGACTCCAGCCTCTAAGTTCTAACTTCTGTGGCCCTTAAAATATATTCTCTTAGATGTTGTGGAGGCTAAGTAAAATCTAAACAATAACCTTGTATTGGGAGTGGGGAAATTAGGAATTTAGTCTACTGTTTATTTCCCCGTTCCTTACAAATGCGTTATCGCTCCTTTGGGAGCTTTATGCTTTCTCATCACAAGACAATCACTTGGTAAATGGCTATCCTGTTGTATCTTGTGTTTCTCCTCTACATTTCTATAACCATATTAAAATTGAAACCAAAAGCACAGATAAAAGCAATGAAAATACTAATCACCTTTTCCGTGTGCTGGTCTTACCCAGGGCTTCTATTTAAAATTTTAATTTGTAAAATATACTTCAATCTATAATTTTCTTGTAATATTGAGATGAATGATATGAATTTTTATTGCATTACTGAATGGCCCCTTGTTCGTCTTTTATTTTAAGAAATACTATTATGTATGTGTTCCATTACGAGATGCACACATATTTATATACTACAATCCGGGCCATCATGTTGATATAGGGGAAAAGAGGTAATTTGTATCTCTTCCTAATATTGCCTAAATTTTCTTGGTTTGTAAATTACTTCCTTGAATTTCAAATAAAGTGTTTTTGTTCTATGTAAACAGTTCAAGTCACAACAGTTATGCCAAGCCCCAGTCGCATTTACTTCTCTAAAACCTAGAGTATTATACGGTTTGCCATAGTGATATTTTTCAGTGATTCAAAACTATAAGAGATCATTTATTTCCAAATATGCTGGAAGATATTAGCTTCTTCAATTTAGAAAGTTTTATTTGCTTATATTCTTATTGTTTCACCTTATTACTTAACCAAAACAGTGGAAGTCAGCCATATCTCCTTCCTAAGAATAAAAATTTCAAGAAAGCATTTTTTTCCACAAGATACAGTTTTTAGAACTTGCCCCACTACTCTGACATATCTTGACAGAGACTCAACTTTTCAGAGTTATTTTTTATGACCATGATATGTGAAATAGTGATTTTAGTTATTCAAAAGGATTCAATGGCCTATTGGAATATAATATTTTAAAATTTGAGCCTATCAAATAAAACAGTATTTCCCTAAAGGGGAAAATAATTTTGATTATTGCAGTTGTGGCAGATGAGGACTATAATGGGACTGTTTCAAAAAATTCAAATAGAAACTGGGGTGTAACATAGAGTGGTGCTTAATGCAAACCCTGGTCTTCTCTTGGTTCATTTTAGCATTGCACATCTTACAGTCCTGCATCACAAATCCTCAGATGACTGAAATATCACATGCTGGGGAGAGAAGCTAAATTGAAACTACTTTTTATTTGCAACTTCAATTTGATATAGACCCCAGAAAAAGAAACATGTTCTAAATTATTTCTGTTGTTAACTTTTCTGACTATTATTAATGTGTCCTAACTGTATACAGTTAAGCCAGCCTTTGATATTCCAAATACAAAATCACATTTTTAGGGAGAATGTAAATTATCAGCTGGGATATATTTCCAAGGACATGTTTTGTAATTTCATCTTTGATGTGTACATTCCATGATAAAATGCTATATGGTTTTCATAGAACTAAAGCTATAAATTTAATATATTTCTTAGATATAAGCCTCTCTCATCCATAGAGAAAATTTTGATGCTTATGATCCTCTAGGAATAATCATCATGAAATTATCATTACATTTTGACATTTAACACTCCCTAAGTAACATGTATTTCTTTTCTTTTCTTTTCTTGCACCATTTTTTCTCACAATCTCAGATTACTGAATAAAAATGAGACAAGTGGACTGCCTTGATTTCATTTTCTCTGCCCAACTATTTTCAAAACGTTTTATTACCTACTTCCTTTTAGTATTCTAGAAGCAATAAACTCATTATAAATCAAATGTAAAACAAGGAAGCATGCTATATATATATCATTTTTCATGTTCAAACCATTTTACATCAATTGACTTCTTTTCTCTACCTTAATGGGAGGTCGTTGGTAAGTATTAACCTCCCTTTATGGCCAAGGGAACTGAGGTAACATTTAGTTGTCAATGAAGAATCCATTCCAAAGAAAGCTTTGCTTGGTATTGGGAGAAACTTGTTTCTACTTTTGTGCATATGGTTAATTGAATACTCTTTCCAATTTAACAGACACGTGTTAAAATGTATAATTAATAAGGAGATGTCATTTCAGACATGCCAGCAACATAGTTTGGATTGCTTATCAGAATATATTGCTTTGTTCCTTTGGGGTAATTTTCCTTCTTCATAGAAAGGTCATATATGCTACAAGGTTATATATGTATAAGGATAAAGTACATTGATCTTTTGAACTGGATATTCAGGAGAACAAGAAAGTTCAAAAACACCTGTTTTGGTACTCTTTATGGGATTTTGTGATTGTGTACCTCAAATGGTGTAATTACATCTTTATTTCATAAAAATTTTGATGAACCCCATTTGGGAATCATTGATCTTCTTCTAGTGGAAATGTAAGACTTTTAAAAAATGACAGATGTGACTGTGTCAACTATGTGATGATTAACCAGTTGTTAACACAAAAGGGGAAACATCTGATTGCCCATCTCGCCACCAATTTCTTTCCACAACTGCAGCTAGGTATTTAGATAGATCATTTTTTTTAAAAAATTGAAATAAATAGATATAGTCTCTCTTTCTTTTTCCTGGACAGTTGCTGACTTTGGATTCCTCTGTGGAATATTTTACACTAAAAACTATCTGTAGATGACTCTCCTTTTGCAAAGGCAAAGCAGAAATTAATTACCCATTAACCAAATAATCACATTGACATCATCCACAGAATTACAGTGTTCTCTGGGGCACAGTATATATTTTTCACCCCCATTCTCATTATAAATATCTATTATACATGCATGCAGAATGATAATGGACCATGGGCCCATACTAGTATTTTCAGCTTCACCTAACACTAAAATAGCAACCACTTCCAGTCATTTTTGCATATGAAAGACACACATACACAGTAAATTTGGGGGGAGCAGGTTGTTCCTTTTATAAACTGCACAGTATGTTTTAGTGCAGTTACTCAATATTAAAGCTCCTGAGTTGTAATGATAGCTTAATTACTTTGCCAGCCTTTTAAATCTAAACCCATTTTAAAAGAACATTTAACTGTCTACCCATGTGACTATTCATTTATTCAGTAGTCACAGAGACTTCAGGCTGCAAACATGTGTTGAATGTGCCCCTTCACCCAAATGGATTCTGTGTCTGATGTGTTTGATATTTGTCCATCTTATTTTCATTTAAATTGAAATTTTAAAAAAGGTGTTCCCATCCATGTAATAGAGTTGTTTGTGTTTGTTTGTCACTACCTTTTCCCTTCCCCTTGGAAAAAAAATTGAGATTAGAATATGACATCTTAAACTTTTTGGTGGCTTCCAAACCACGAGTATGATCGAACCAATGTTTTGCTGAATGATAGATACGGCATCAGTGATTGAAAACCAAATCTCAATTTTGGCAGCTTGGGGCTACAAGGCCTTTTCCTCCCTCCCAAACCTTTGAAAATCCCTATCCCAGGGACTCTTTCCCAACCATCCTTCAAAGATAATGGTATCTTTGAAGTGACTGTGTCATATAAGTGATTTTGGCTAACACCCACCAGAGCATGGTCTTCTGTACTCTCTCCAGGGTGCACTAACACTGTTGATGCTTGACAGGGTGGCAAGTGTACAGAGTGAACCTGGCCAACAGAACCTCCTTGTTCAGCAGCCACTGGGGAGGAAGAGGGGCCTGAGGCAGGTAAGCAGACCTTGAACAGGCAAGAGAATCATCCTGTGAAATGAAAGCTCTATTCAATTTTTAATGCCCATGTATATTAAGATTATATTTTACCTTCTCCCCACCTGAAATAAGCAGTACAGAGCAACTTTAAAACATGGTAAGTACTTGGGTGCAAGCTGGGCATTTTAAGCTTCTATTTTAGCTCTGAATATTCTTATTGGCAAAGCCGATGACTTAGTAAAGTGAGCCTATAACTCTATTTGTTCCCTATCCAGAAACTAACTTTCCGGGCCAAACTTACTGACAGAGATTTGTTATACAGTTTATGTAATGACTGTTTTTGCATAGAGGCAAAGACAAAGAAGTCCTTTCTTCCTCATTTTGAGATTAATGATTTAATTTAAAACAAATTGGAGTAAGGGTCATCTTTACCAATTTCCTTAGGTGGAATTCTTGTACATTACTTTCTAAATAAAAATCTAAATGAGGCTTTTCAGTGTTGCTTCAATGGGAGCTTCCCGTTTGTGATTCAGGTACCACATACTTGGCCAGCAATAGTGTTTTTTTGTTTTTGTTTTTTAATAAATCTCCCCTTTGAGAGTCAGCATATATATATATTCAACTACAATTTTCAGATGAGCAAAGGTTGGTCAGTAAACAATAGTTATTAGTTTTGCATCCTAAAATCCCTGAAATTCTCAAATTTACAATTTAAATTATGTTAATTTATGTTACTGGGATAGATAAAGGAGTAATAGCCAGGAGATGAATTGGCTAAAGAAGATGCCAGAAGAAAACACTTATAGTTAAATAAGCAGAAAGAAGTTGGGCCGGGCGCGGTGTTTTGTGATAGCAAAACACCATTAAAAAGGTCATGTTACATATTATATAGGTATCGGTTTCTTAGTGCAAGTCTTATTTTTTATTATTAAATAGATGTTGTACAATGACTTCAATTTTCACCCACAAGACACTTTACTATTATAGAACGTAGCCCCAAAATGACTGAGGAGATACCCTCAGTATATCTGCAGTATGTATTTCAAAGATTTTAGTTTGAATGAGTTAATAAAAAAGACAGATTCCTTTTCAAAACTTGTTTGACTCAGCTGTATTTCTAAGTTTGGCTACAGTGAAGTTTAAGAGCCATCATTTAAATTAATTTCTTATAGCAAGGTATAGGGGTATTCCTTTACATGAAAAAGACTGTAAATTCAATGTAAATAGTACCTTACTTTATGTACTATCTTGGAGAGTAGAAGAGGGGAATTTTCCCAATAATAAGCTACAAAAAAAAAAAAAAAAAAAGGGTCTAGACGGGTTAAGCCACAGAGAGCGCTCGCCGCCATGCATGTCCACCTCCCTCTGCACCGCCTGTAATCCTAGCTCTCTGGGAGGCCGAGACGGGTGGATTGTTTGAGCTCAGGAGTTTGAAACCAGCCTGAGCAAGAGCGAGACCCCGTTTCTACTAAAATTAGAAAGAAATTAATTGGACAACTAAAAATATATAGAAAAAATTAGCCGGGCATGGTGGCGCATGCCTGTAGTCCCAGCCACCAGGAGGCTGAGGCAGGAGGATTGCTTGAGCCCAGGAGTTTGAGGTTGCTGTGAGCTAGGCTGACGCCATGGCACTCACTCTAGCCCGGGCAAAAGAGTGAGACTCTGTCTCAAAAAAGAAAAAGAAAAAGGAAGTTTATCAGCTACAGATGTAAGGAACACCATAAGAGTCCACAGAAACATAAATTTAAAAAGCAATTGTATAGTCAGAATCCTCTGAGCACAGTGTTTCCTCCCAGGCAGTTAGATCCTTTTGCAAGTTTATTTTGCCTATTCTCTTTAGCTGAGACGTCCTCTGCTATCACGTCAGAAGACTCAGACTGAATCCAAAAACCGCCATGCAGCTCGGCTGTCAACAACTCGCAGGAGCATTCAACCTAAAACGAAGCCATCTGGTGAGGTCTCCTGTGTCCCTTCCAACTATAACATTGATTTGATAAGATGGGACTCAGCCAGGAAAGCCTGCAAAAACTGAGCTGATGCAGATAAGCACACCTTGGGGGAGGTGCTAAGATAAGGGAAAAAGTTTTCCAGACAATTTTAGTGCCTTTTTTCCTTCTTGCCTTCCCCAACTCCTGTCCCTACCCCTATGAAATTAGGTAAATGGAAGAGCCCAAGGTAAACCAACTAATACTGTGAAATTTGGCTATAGAGGCTTATGTTTTCTTTATTCAAACCAGGAACAGTGTTTGTTATATGTCTTACTGAAGATAAAGCTATGATGAATAATAGGGACTTTAAAGTCCTATTGGCAGCTATTCTGAGGAATGCTCAAGTTCTACCTAATGCTCCATGAAAATCTTGTTTTAGGCCATTTATATAAAAATGATTTTTCTGCCCAAGTCCTACACTTTGTAAGAAGATGAAATCAAACATGTACAAAATAGTCAAACATGCTCTCATTTATGAATAAGCCAACAATGTGTTTATTAAGAAAAGCTAGGTGACACTGGTTAAAACCAACTATTAAGCACTAACAGTCTATTTTACCCAATTTCCTCCCTACCTACTGCCTCACCTCTGACCTACAGCGGATCAGAAAAGATCTGTAACCTTCATTGAGGCTCAGCCAGAGCCAGCAGCTGCCCCAACAGATGTACTTCCTGCCACAGGCCAACCACAGGGCTGCAGCCCAGCCCCATCTAGGAAACCAGAAAAAATGGACGATCCAGTCCTCACGTCTTCCCCCGCCATAGTTGTTGCGGATCTCCACAGCCTGTCTCCCAAGCAGGTGAGGGCACTAGAGAAACACACAAGGCTTGCTCACTGCATAATTATTTCTAGGAACCACTGGGTATGCGAATTTATTCCCCATAATTCAGTCTGGGTCTGCAATGCTTTGTTATCCAAACAGACACTGGTCCTGCCACCATGAAAAAGAAAATCTATATAAAGCTATGACCAGGAATATATCTACATAAGAAGGACCAAGAGAAGTCTTGATATTTTTAGTTATGAAAAATCTAAAAGAAAATACTCCACAGCTAAAATAACCATTGAAAACAGGTATACACAGGTTGAGCACTCCTAATCTGACAATGCAAAATTCAAAATGCTCCAAAATTCAAAACTTATTTATTTATTTATTTATTTTTGGTGGTTTAAAACAACAGAAAGTTATTGTCCCACAGTTGTGGAGGCTAGAAGTCTGAAATCAAGGTGTTATGGGGGTTGATTTCTCTTCTTTGCCTCTCTTTATGGTGATGGCTGGCAATCTAGAGTATTCCTTTGCTTGTAGATTCATTATTCCAATCTCTGCTCTGTCTTCACATGGTGTTCTTCTCATCTCTCAAAACTTTTTGAGTGCTGATATAACACTCTCAGAAAAATGCTCATTGGAGCATTTCAAATTTCAGATTTTCATATTAGAGATGCTCAACTGGGTAAGTATAAATGCAAACATTCCAAAATCCAAAAAATCTGAAATCTGAAACACTTCTGATTCCAAGAATTTCAGAGGAGGGATACTCAACCTGTAATACATAGCTGAAAAATAGTTCAATTAAAAAATAATGAAGTTACTAACTTAGACAAAGCCTTTAAATATTGAGCTTTCTAAGAAACTTTTTGTTTTGATCTTTTCCCTCATTGTTTTGATATTTTTCTTGTTGATATTTTTTCTTGTTGCTTTGATTTTTTTTCCTTCCTTTGATTTTAATAAACAAATTCCCATAGGTTCCACATTCTTCTCATGTGGTATTTCAAGAAAACTAAAGGGCAATATTACTATTTATGTTTGTATAGTCTTTAATGCTTAAATTTTAACGCTTACCATTATTATCTCATTTAATCCTCAGTCTACAAGGTAAGCAAAACGAAAAGTTATGTTCATGTTACAGGTTAGAAAATCGAGGCTTAGAAAGTTGGAAGGGTCTACATAAGATCTTACCTATGACAAAGGCTAGAACTGGGACTGGCCTTCTGATTCCTTGTCCAGTTAACAGCTAGACAACAACATTTTTTGATATTCTTCTCTGGTACCCACCCTACCTTTCCATGATGTTATGATCCTTTTGATCATAGAGTGAGGCCCTCTCCACTGAAGAAGGAGAAAAGAAGGAGGATACAGAAGCACAAGGTGCTACAGCACTTAGTCCACTCTCTACTCAACTCTCAGACCCTGATGACTTCACAGGCCTAGAGACATCCAGCCTGCTACAGCATGGAGACACTGTCCTTCACATCAGCGAGGAAAATGGCATGGAGAACCCTCTGCTGTCCAGCCAGTTCACTTTTACTCCCACTGAGCTGGGGGAGACAGACATAGTCCTAGATGAGTCTCATGTTTAATTCTGAAACTTGCAAGCACTGCAGGTGTAGAGGAGACAAGGAAGGGATCTCTCTTTTAAAAGTTGAATAATTTTGCTTAAAAAAAGATTAATTACAAAAGAGCACTTTACATCCAATGGGTGGCACAAATCTAAATAGACTTTATTGCCAATATGCATAATGTTTCATAAACATCTTAGAAATCAACGGCTAAAAGGATTTAGTTGTATGAAAATCATAAAAACCAGGGAGGAATAAGGGGAAAGAGCCATTTCACTGCACATTGTTTATGATTCAAAAAGCTTTCAGCAGTTAAAAACACATACTGTTACAGTGCTGCTTTCATAGAAACATTAATATGTTCTAAAAAGAGAATGCAATTTTCTGAGATTACTCACATTATACATCTCATGTAAATGTTTATTTTTATAGTTTTAAAAATATTAAATCAGGTGGCTATACAAGTAGCAATTTACATAAAAATAATGAATAAGAAAATATTAGTTTTGGGAGACTAAATAAGCCCACAGCCATTTTTGCTTTGATCAATAATACAGCCATTTAGAAGAAGAAAAAAAATAATATATTCAGAGCTGCGGACTTTTCAATATTTATTTTTTAATTGCCATTTTCATTGCATGTTGTAAGTCAAAATGCTAATGCCATAAGACCATTCCGTTTCATAATCAATCACATTAGGCAGAATATTCTAGAAATTATCAGATATAATTCTGAATTAAGAAGAACCTAAACAGCCTATCTAACTTTAAAAACTAAATGTAAATATAATAACTTAAAAGAGATGGTATTCCTACTTCTAGCCCTGACAGCATAAATGCCAAGATTAGGAAATATTGAGAAATGTGATTACTTTTCCTTACATTATCCCGTGCCTGCCCTTGAGGGCATATTTTCAGATGTTAAGGTTAGTATTGTTAGAATTGGTTCAATAAAATAACTTTTTCTCAATAGTAACAATATTCTTAAGATACTCAGAACATCTAAATTTATGAGGAATAAAACATAAAGTAAGCAACTCTTCATAGACACAGCCAGCTTGTATATTTTACAAATAAATCTTTAATTTGAGGTTCAGTAACTTCAAGACAAGTATAAAATTAGAAGGCTTGTGAGGCCAATACCTAGTGTGTTATTGATCCTATAGTAGGGTTGGGCATCATATAGTTCAAAATCGAATTTCAAAAGTTTAACAGTTTACATTAGAAAACTGTGACATAACTACTAAGCATATAAAAAACTCATATACATAAACTAAATTGGTATGGTGGTGTATGTGCGTGTGTGTGTGTGTGTTTTAGTTCTCAATTTGAAGTTAAATACAGACTTTGATTATATTGCAATGAGTTTAAAACATTCTGTATGCTTAAACTTTGACTACGTTGGCTATGAAATATATATATACATAAAGAGGAGACCTACTAAACCCACCCTAATCATAAAGACGAATTATTTTTTGTTAGAATTACTTATTAAATAGGCATTGTTTATATTTTCAAATATAATTTGGAGTTATGGTCCCATTCACTAGGAGAATGAAAGATATCTATGAGTTAAAAGATAAAAGAAAAATTTCAAATCTAACAATGCAGAAAATCAAGGAGGTAAATGGCCTCTTTTATGTTTTACAATATTTTTACATCATTTACACTTAATGCCGAATTAATTCTCAAGTGCAGAAATATAAATGTTATGTGGTATTATGGGTTCTAAGCTGATATATTTCACCTGTTAAAAATTATGCTGCTCAGTTAGCATTAGAGGCCTTATGTTTGCTAATTACAAGTGTCTGAGCTATGTGAGTCTCTATATATGTGTGTGCTTTGTTCCAGTTTCTTGATTCAAATTATCTATGTATAATTGTATCAAATATATTAAAAAGCAAAGGGGTCAAAGAAGATTGTTAAATATCCAACAAGAATCCTAAATACCTTTATATATATTTTAAAAGTATTGGACTTATTTTAAAAGTATTGAACATGATTATGCTGGTCTGTCTGCCTTTAGCCTGACTCCTTCACTCTAGTGTATGGAAGTCTGTTAGAAATGTTCAGTAAGTTAAGTAATGTATCTTGCAAAAAAGCCTCCACTCTGAGAAACAGGGCCTTATAGAGTGGGAATGTTTTCATACTCGGACTACTGAGATTTTGCAGATGTGTGCATCTGTTCCATTTAAGGTGCCCTTAAATGTGTTGAATGTAATGTGTTGAATGTTTATGTGTAATGGCTAAAGTATCTATATGTATGTGCATAAGACTGTCACAAGATGTATTCTCAGGAATACTGTTACCTGGAGTTTGAAGAAATAACCATTTAAAAAAAAAAAACAGTTGGGGAAGATTAGAAAAAAAGTTCAAGATAATTGACAATTTTTTTGTAATGTTTAAAATATTATTGAGTATATGACTAAAAGCTAATTATTACATATGATAAATACAGTATTGGTAATAATATATCAAAATATATATATATATAAGTAGAGAGTTTATTTGGGGCAAGTTTGAGGATTGCAACTCAGGAGCATAAATTCAAGTTGCCCTGAATATATGTTCCCCATAGATCATTTCTTAAGCTATGATGCTTAGTGATATTTATCTTATTCAAAGGAAAAATAAAACAGGCATCCACTTACCATGTATGAAAATTAGACTAAACAAAGAAGTTGCTTCTTCTGAAATTAACTTAACTTCTGAGAGACCTTGGTATAAATCAGGTGTTATCCATGATAGTGGGTACAGATTTATACTAAATTAAACCAGTTCAAATCCTGGATATAGCATTTTCTATAGTAAAAAATTTTACTTTCATTTTTCAGTATTTGCTGCTTTCTATAATTCTATTACATAAGTTATTTGATTTTTCTGAAAAGGAAACTGAATTACTGAGTGCATTGCGACAAGGCACTGAGAACTACAGTGTCAAAAGGCATAAATGAGCATGGCAATGCTGAGGGAAAAATCTGTGGTATTGGTGGTCTGGTTAAGGCCTGTTGCACAGGCTGGAACTAGCTGGTTTGCTGAGAGGACCTTAAACGGGGTGACAGTTCCTTTCTTCTTTAGCATCTGGTCCTTGAGTCAATGAAGAACTTTCTCCACTCTGCTGCCCAGCTCCGAGAGTATCTGAGACAAGAACAGGGTGTGTGTAGGGACCTAGAGGGAAGAAAGGGCCATAAATGAATAGAATTGCAGTCTAAAACATGAATTAAATATCCTTCCTCAAGTTATACTGGATACTTTAATAGAGCACAGTCTCTGGAATTTGCTGCTATCACACCTAGTCATGCTGTTGCCCTGTGTAACCTCACACTTCGAATTCCATGGCCTTGTCTTGGCAGTGAGTAAAAAGTCCCACTTCCTCATTTACTCTAGTGGGTCTCAACTGCAGCATTTCAAAAACGAACTTTGATTTGATACTCAGGAGAATAAAAACAAGTTGAGAGCAGAATGTATTTGGAAAAGCTTAAGACAAATTTACTTATATTATTTTAGGATCATTTAGGATTATAGGTCAATGTACCTCCATATTTTTTAATAGTCACTGTGACCACAGGATGAAAATCCTTTATTAGCCATTTTATAGGTAAAAACAAAAGATTGACTACACAGCCAACTTCCCTCAGATGACTATGAAGTCTATTATGAATACTGAATGACCAAAGAACATGGAAAAAATGCATATGAATAAATACTGAAATGTTTATGAAAGATATTTATGAAAGATATTAAGAATTCTGTGTTTGAATATGCACATATAATAAATCTAAAAATATTTAAGATGCCTGAGTAAGTTTTATTTCTTAAGGTAGAGAATAGGTTAACTTATACAGGAAAATGTTTATTTTTGATCCCTGGGGTGTGAGGTGTGCCTTTGTTAATGTCTTGTTGTCCCTCCTCAACACTACCCCTCACTCCTCTGGTCTGAAGTCACCATCTAATTAGACACCTCCAATTAACCCCACCTCCAGCCCTGAGCTCCATTCTACTCAAGTTTTCCAAATCTACCTTTCAAAATAGAACACAATAGGAGACAGACACCCCAATTTGATTTCTCTGCCCAGGTTATGACCTTCTGGAATGACTGGCAGATTTTACAATGGGAGTGTTAAAGACCTGGTTGTCCTCTCAGTGTGGCCAGAAACACCACGTTGTTCAAATTACCAACAATTCTTTTATACAAAGTGCCCTATTCTTACACACTAAGGATTGCTCTCGCTAAATCGATTTTTCCCCCCTCTCATGGTTTTACTTCCATCTCTTTTCCTGACCCAATGACTCCAGACACATTTGGCTGTGGGACACTCTTACCCATTTCTGGATTGCGTCCGAACAGTACACAAATGTATCACAGTTCGTGAATGAGCATTGCTGAGAGATGTAGGAACCAAGGGAAAACTTCCCCTTTGCCCTCTAAAGGCTGGCTGAAGATCACCGACAAAAGGCATATTAATAGGAGACAAGGTTGATACCATTATCAAAAATTAAAAAAAAAGGAGAAAATGCACACACAATTTATTTGATCATGTTTTATGTGACACAATAGTGTTCAGAATGAAGACCCAAAGATAACAGGGAAAATTGTCCATTTTTATACTTAGGTTCAACAAAGTATGGACAGTGGTGTAGAAATATGATTTGACAAAAAGTCTAATGTTAACAGACCGAGTGGGGAAACCCAGCAAGGCCTCTCCATGCAGCCTTCCTTCCTTCTGGGTATGTCACAAGATCATCTCTGGAATAGGGATCTTAAGACCTATAATCAAACAAAGTAGAGCAGATAATTTCTTTATGGCTAGTTTTTACATGGTGGTGGTGGAGAGGGGGTGTTGGAAGAGAGAAGTTAGGAGTAACATTTTTAGATTTTATGGCTGGCTTTGGGGAAAAGGGGCTCTGGTTTCAATGACCTGCCTCAGGGAAGATGGATTCTAGTTTCTATGATTAGCCTTCAGGAAGAATGAGACAGAGACAAGAGGGCAGAAGGTTACAGTAAAACATTTGTTTCTGAGG